GATCTCTGGCACCCAATTAAAAGAGAATTAGTCTTCAAGGGCTGGCCACCTGGGGCCATTGCTTTGTTTGGGGCCATACCTGGCGGTGCTCTGGGCTCCTCCTGGCCCAGTGCTCAGGGAGCACGTGGTGCTGGGCTGGGACGGGGGCTGCATGCAAGGCCCCCGAGCATCTCCCCGCACTGAAACTGTCTCCTGAGTTTGCATTCGGGCCTTGGCAGCCGGCTGGCTCTGGGTGCGCCTGCTCCCATCTGTCCCCTGCTGTTCGTCCATCCCCTCGGAGGCAACCGCCAACGGGCCGCTCCTCCCGTGGGCCTGCTCGGTCTGTGCCCGGGGCTTGCTGATGCACCCTGCGACTGTCCTGGGATTTCTCGGGAGTGACTCACGGGGGGTGATGGTGCCGCAGGGCGCCTGGGGCCCCGTGACTCACTGGCCGGCCGGCCGCTGGGCCCTGCAGCTGCCCCCGCAGGGAGGAGCCTGTCCTCAGCACCCCGCTCTGCTTGGAGGCGGCCCTGGGCACACCCTCCTCCGGGCCTGGGGCTGCGGGGCTCCTCCTGGCATGCTCCCCACCCCAAGCCGGCCGCCGCCCCGCCCACCGAGCCGCGGGGCCCGGGGCTTTCCGGGAGGCCGGTTCTCGCCCCTGGAGCATCCTTGCCGCTTGGCTTCCCAGCGAGGGCGGGAGGGCTGGCACTTGTGGTCCCCGCGCACAGAGCGCCAACGAACAGCGTGAAAACGCCTCTGCGGCGCCGATAAGCGGACTCCTGCCCGCGCCCGCGCCCGCCGTTGGCAGAGAAGAAACTGCAGCCCGCAAGGGCGAGGGGACCCGACCCCGGCCGAGCACTCGCGGCCTGGGGGGCTGCTTCGGGGTGCCGGGGCTCGTGGGCGCCCGGGTCCCGGGCGGGGTGTGCGGGGGCAGGAGGGGCGGGCGGAGCCGCGCGCCGGGCCAGGCCGGAGACCCCAGGGTGGGGGCTGGGGTGAGGGGCGGTCCCCGTGTGGTCCCCACCCCAGCCTGCCCCTCCAGGGCGCCCGGCTGGGCTCTGCGTCATCGCTCTCCTCCCGCCCCCATCCAGCCGGTGCTCCCGGGGCTGGGGGGTCCCGCGGCTGGGGGTCCCGGACCACCCTTCCCAGGGGGCTGCAGCAGGGGGAGGGTGGTCTGGGCGAGCCTCCACCGTGGTGGGGTGCAGGGGAGCTGAGCTAGGCGGGGGGCCCGTAAGGGCGACGCAGACGCGGCAAACAGAAGTGCTCTCTGGGCGGTGGGGGTCCCTCTCGGTGACCCCACGGCGGCGCGGGGCTCCCTTCCGGCCTCGCGGGTGTGGAAACTGAGGCTCCGGGAGCCGCACCCCCGGGCGGGGCGGGGCGGGGCGGGGGCGCGCGCGCCCGGGACCCGCTGACTCACGGCGCGGCCCGACCCCCGGGCCTTTGTTCCCGCCCGCCTTAAAGGGCCCGCGGGTCGCGCCGCAGCTCCCCGCGGGCCGGGGCGGGGGGCTCCTCCGGCTGCGGGCCGGCCGACCCCAGCGGGCCCAGAAGGGTCCAGAACGTCGCTCCCAGCCTTCTGGCACGGGCGGCCCCTTCCCTGCGCCCCGGGCCCGGCGGGGGCGTCCGGGGCGCCCTGCAGCTGCCCTGGGCGCGCGCGCCCCCGCGTGGCCGCCAGTGAGAACTGCGGCCCTGCGCTGCGCCGGGTGCACCCGCCGAGGCTGCAAACGCAGCCCTGGGTTCGGGGGAGGGGGCGGGTCCCGGGGTGGCACAAGCCCCCTGAACTCGGGTCCCAGCCCCGCCGCGAGCAGAAAGCTGGAGGCCCGCGCCTGACTCTGCTCACGGAGATCGATTCGCAAGTCGCCTCGGCTGGGCAGTATTCCAGGATCTGGGGCTCCGGGCCCCGCACCCTCTGCCCACCCACCCCTCCCCACCTCCGCCCGCCCAATACGACGCTATTTATTGCTGTCCTCCCCCCCGCCCCCCCCCCCCCACGCACACACTAGAGGTTTGGGTTCATTGTGTTGTCCAGTTTTCCCCTTGACGTTTCTAGCTTCCGTTTGTCTGATCCCACTGGCGAGTTTGAAAGGAGGAAGAAGCGCAAAGCCCCGAGGGCAGGGCATGGCCACACGCATAGGCGCTGCCAAGGAGGGCGAGAAGGGATGGGAGACCTGGGTCACCGCCGCGCGTATCTGTGCCAAAGCACTCGATGCTGGAGAGGGCCACGGGCTGCCCGGTGTTCTCCCACCCAACGCCTGTCCTAGGATCAACCTTTGCCAAAACACTAGGTCTGTAAGTTGTTGAGTGTGAACCTTGGCACCCATTGCCCTAACCAAGCAGGCCATCTGGCCCCAAAGAAGTTTAGCAACTAGGAGTACCCAGAAACCCAGAACCCTCTACGGCCTCATCCACCCCCCCATCCATCTACCCACCCATCCATCCACCCACTCACCCCATCCCCCTGTCTGTCCAACCACACACCCAACCCAAGGTCCATCCATCTACCTACCATTCATCCATCCTTCCTTCCATCCACCCACCTGTCCCTCCAGTCATTCATTTATGCACCCACCCGTCTACCCACCCGCCCACCCCACACACACCCATTCACCATTCACCCATCACCCATCCATCCACCCCCCCTACTCAACAGACATGCTGTTGGAAGTCCGTGTTGTATGGAGTTCACTTCCCCACTCCAGGCTGTGATGTCTTTCGAAGTCTTCTCTTCCTCTCCTTTCTCACCTCCTCTTCGGTTCACCAGAGTGTCACGCACCCTAATCCTAAGCAGAATTCACTCTTCAGCGGCTAGGCCAATCCCTCCCAAGAACAGGTAAAGGTAAAGGTAAAGGCCCTCCCGTTGATCGTCGATTTGCTCGAGCGGGCCCAGTAACGTCTCCATTTGTTGTTACTTTGTTGTTACTGTGTCTGGCATATCGAATACTCTCGGTAGCTTGCCGGGCTCTCCGAGAACAGCTTCTAGGTGAATCTCCCTGCGATGGACCCAAGTCCTCTGGAGTGGGTGCAGATCGCCTGCAGCGACCTGTCTGAGTTTGGGGGCCCACACCAGAAGCTTGCGTCAGATCTGTGCCCCGAGCTTCCATCTCTCAGAATTAGTGACTTTTTAAAAAATATTTTGCTTTTTGCGTCATACCTGGCGATGCTCAGGGGTTACTCCTGGCTCTGCACTCAGGAGTTACTCCTGGCGGTGCTCAGGGGACCATATGGGATGCTGGGAATCGAACTCGGGTTGGCCGCGTGCAAGGCAAACGCCTTACCCACTGTACTCCAGCCCCAGAATTAGTGACTTCTTAAGGGGAAAAGCATCCTTTTATATTTTAAAACCAAATGTGTATATTAGAGCCAAACAATCTGAGCCCAAAATGAAAGGGGGGCTTTAAATTTTTTTTTTGGCTTTTTGGGTCACATCTGGCAATGCACAGGGGTTACTCCTGGCTCTGCACTCGGGAATTGCCCCTGGCGGTGCTCATATGGGATGCTGGGAATCAAACCAGGGTTGCCCGCGTGCAAGGCAAACGCCCTACCCGCTGTGCTATTGCTCCAGTCCCTAAACTTTAAAAAAATATATATATTTTCCACACCTGGCAGTGCTAGGGATTGCTCCTGCAAAGTGTTAGGGGGCTGGGAATGCCAGGGAGTGACCCTCAGCCTCCAGCAGGCAAAGCAAGTGTTTCAACCCACTGAGCTAACTTCATGGCTCCCCAGTGACTTATTTCTATTTTTGGCGGGGGGGGGGGATAAACCCAGAATTACTCAGGACTTGCTGGCTCTGTGCTCAGGGATCACTCCTGGTGGGGTTCAGGAACCATACGTAGAGTTGGAGATCAAATCTAGGTAGGGTGCAGGCACGGAAAGCTCCCTGCCCACTGTCCTATCTCTATGGCCTTAGTTATCTGGGGTCACACCCACCAGTGCTCAGGGTCTCTTCCTGGTTTTATACTCAGGAGTGAGCCCTGATAATGTTCAGGGGACGATACACGGTGCTAGGGATCAAACATGGGTTGGCCACATGCAAGGCAAGCACCTTAACCTGTCTCTCCACACCTGCCCATCCCTCTCAGTGATTTTTAAACTGGAAATTAAGAGTCTTTCATGAGGGGCTGGAGCCATAGCACAGCGGCGAGGGCATCTGCCTTGCACGCGGCCGACCGGGGTTGATTCCCAGCATCCCATATGGTCCCCTGAGCGCCTCCAGGAGTGAATCCTGAGTGCAAAGGCAGGAAGAACCCCTATGCATAGCCAGGTGTGACCCAAAAAGCAAAAAAAGTAGTCTTTCATGAGTCCACATAATAATTGTGTGCATTTATACTGCAGGGGCGTGACCTCGCGGAGTGCACATGTGTGAGCATGGCTGGGTGTCAGCTCTGGGCTCCAGGCCTCAGTGGGCGCCAAGCGCGGCCCAGACCCCCTCGCTGACCCTGCATCCGCCTCCTTGTCCTCCGGGGCTCCATGCCCTGAGCTCCTCTATCGCCCTCTGAACTTTCCCTGTGGGTGAAAAAGCAGAGGCCTCGCCACCTGTGACCAAACAGGGGCAGCCCAGAACCTTCCCCCATCCTGTCCAGCAAACAGAAAGGAGGCAGGGTATGCAGTCCAGGGACCCAAGAGGTCGCCTGGCCCAACTCGCCGTCCCCCCCAGACCTAAAGCAGAACAGTGGTGAGGGCAACAGTCCATCGGGGCGGCTCCCAGGTCCCTGGTCCCTGACACAGTGGGGAGTGACCCCCAAGACTGGGCTAGGCGCGCCAGCGACCAAACACCAGGATAAACCGACCCAGGGGCCAGAGTCCGCTCAGCCCGCACCCCGAGAGCCAGCCCCAGCACCAAATCGGGTGCCCCACCCCCAAACTCAGACCCCCAGCGAGCCAGCCGGTCTTTCCCCTCGCAGGGAGCGCTCAGGCCCTCTCGGCGGGAGCCCCGGCCCCGTGCCCCTGAGCCGGCCTCTGCCTTGCAGCCCGGGGACCCCAGCCCGCGGCGCGCGCCCGTCAACCTGAACCACTACGCCACCAAGAAGAGCGTGGCCGGGAGCATGCTGGACGCTGCCCTGCTCCTGTCCAACGCCGCCAGGCTGCAGGCGCTGCTGGAGCGCGGCCCCACCGCCCCCTACTACGTGGCGCTCACTGTCCTGCTCAGCCTCTCCCTGCTCCTGCAGGTGGCCATCGGAGTCCTCCTCGTGGTCATCGGTGAGGAGCCCCGGGCCGGGGGCCGCGAGCGGCGCCCCCAGAGCCCGCCCCCGCCCCTCCCCGGCCCCTGCCCCCCGCCCGGCCGCCCCCTGCCCGTGGCAAACCCACGCAGCCAGCTCCGGGCCGCGAAGGTGCCTCGCACCCCGCCAGGGCGTCCCTCCCTCCCGGGCTCCCGCGCAGGGGTGCTGCGCTGCGGGTGGGTGTGGACGGCGCGCCCCCTCCCCGCTTCCCCCTGCCCAGCGCGACTGAACCTCAACGAGGTGGAGAAGCAGTGGAGGCTGAACCGGCTCAACAACGCCGCCACCCGCCTTGGTCTGCATCGCGGTGGTCCTCAACGTCTTCATCACGGCCTTCGGGGCACATAAGACGGGGCTCCCTGCGGCCAGGACCTCGCAGAACCCCCTCTGAGCCCCACGCCGGGAGGTGAGGAGAGGTGGGAGGCGGGAGGCGGAGGGGACGGGTGGGAGTGGAGCGGCTCTTCTCCGGCTGGGAGCAGGTCCTGGCCAAGCCGCAAGGGCTGCAGGGCCGCAGGGGAGAGGGTCTCCGAGGCTGGCGCGCTGCCCCTTCCCTCCCTTTCCCTGCTGTGACGGCCGCACTGCTCAGACCTGGGTTCCCAGAGCCCCCACGGACACGAGGCCATGTGGTGAGTGGCTGGCTCCAGGCCCGGACCCGGGGTCACGGGGGTGTCCCAGCTGTCCATGGTGCTGTCAAGAGTACCTCCTCCGGGACTGAAGCAACAGCACAGCGGGGAGAGCATTTGTCTTGCCTGCGGCCGACCGGGTTCGATCCCCAGCATCCCATAAGGTCCCCAGAGTCCACCAGGAGTGATCCCCGAACTCAGAACCAGGAGTTAGCCCTGAGCCCCCGACAAAAAAAAAAAAAGAGGGCTGAACAATAGTGCAGTGGGTAGGGTGTTGATCTTGCATGAGGCTGACCAGGGTTCAATCCCCAGCAACCCATCTGCCCACCCCCCTCCCTCCCAGCACCAGCAGGAGTAATTCCTGAGTGCAGGGGCTGGAGCACAGTGGGTAGGGGTTCACCTTGCACGCAGCCAACCCAGGTTCGTTCCCAGCATCCCATATGGTCCCCCGAGCACGGCCAGGAGTAATTCCTGAGTGCAGAGCCAGGAGGAACCCCTGTACATCGCCAGGTGTGACCCAAAAATCAAAAAAAAACAACCCAAAAACAGAAAACAAGAGTGCCTGGTCCTCAGCAGCTCCCGGGAGGCCACCAGGAGGCCGGGGGGAGGGGCACACAGACCCTCTGGGGCCCTGGGAGAAGCTGCCAGGCCAGGACAGGAAGGGACGAGGAGGGACAGGGCGGGGCGGGGCCTGGCCAGCCTCTCACAGCCTCTCCTCTGCCTCTCACAGGTCCTGGGCCTGGGCCTGCTTCCGCTTTCCGCCTTGACCTGTCATGCTGACAAGCGCTTCCCAGTCGTCCTCCACCCTGGCCCCTCCCCAGGCCTGAGGTGGGAGTAATGGTTCCCAGTGGTTCCAGGTCTGGAGGTTGGAGGTCAGAGGGAGCGCTGGCCTTCCTGCGCCCTGAGTGTCCACGGACAGAGGGGCCACCTGGAGCCCTGACCCCCTCGTCCCGCCCTCCTCCCATGCGCCAGGCCTGTCTCCCCTTAAGAGAACCGGGTTCTCTCCATAAAGGTATCTGCAGCCCACTGAGTCTATTTATTTGTGGAGGTTCAAGCATCCAGCCAGCTTCAGGGGCCCCCGGTATCCTACGGAGACCCCCAAGAAGGCCCAGCTCCAGGGGGAGATAGCTTTTCAGTCTCTCCCTCTCCTCTGGCTCTTTTCTTGGGCGGGGAGGCGGCCGTTCTGGCCCCGTGTGTCGCCAGTAACGCTCAGCTTCTACCCAGATGGGTACAAGACCGCCTGTCCTTCCCTCAAGCCCCGAGAACCCTGCTCTTGCCTTCAGATGAGCACCTTCCTGCAAAGCGCATCAGAGAGGTCGAACGAACACCGCTCTGGCCGAGAGCAACGGCACTATCTATCCCCAGGCCTGTTCGTTTGCACCGAGAAAGCATCAGGCGGGCAGCCCAGGCCGAACCAACAATTCTCAGCCAGCTCCTTTATTACATCTGCTTTGCTGGGGGGGGGGGGGGGGGGGGGGGGGGGCGCGGAGATTCGCGGCAGTGTTCGCAGGACGAGATGGAGCTGGGGCTCAAATCTGGGTGGCCCCCGTGCACAGCACCCGCCCCGCCTGGAGAGTGCCTCCCTGGTCCAGTCTGCACCTTTGAGCTATACCTCAGCCATTCCCGACCGTTCACCGAGCTGTTCCTGCCTGACACGCCCCCACCCCTAGGAGACCCCACCCAGCCCTTCTCAGCTGGAACCACCAGGAGACGTTGTGCCCCCAGCAGCAAAGGTCCGAGCACTATCCCTGCATCCCTCAGACAGGAAACATGTAGCCTCCACCCAGGGTTGTGAGTGGTGGCGGCAGTGTGTGTGTGTCTGTGTGTGTGTTGGGGGGGTGCTGGTGTGTCCCGCAGGGGTCCAACCACACTGGGAGGACCCTCAAGCCTCTCTCTGTCCAGTCCTCGCCCGCCCTGAACAGCAAGACACAGAGCCCATCTGTTTTCTAAGAAGATGCTGTAATTGAACCCAGTCCCTCCCCAGGGCCCCTACACAGGGTGGGGGGTCTCGTTGGGGGCCCCCTTAAGGCAGGTGGTGTGGACATAACAAATATCAAACAAGGCACTGTGGGGGGAGGGGGGAGGGTTGAGGGGGCGGGCAGGAGAGATGATTCCGGCCAGTGGGGAATACAGCAGGGTGTGTGGGGGTGCCTGGGGCGCGACACCCCGGGGTGAGCAGGCCCAGAGGGCAGCCTGCCGGCCCCCCACACCCCGCAGGCCAGCCACAGTCCTCGGACCCCCTCTAGCCCTTCGCCAAGGCAGAGCTGGGGGGCCCGGGATGCAGGTTTGTCTGAGTCCTCAAGCTCCAGTAGGTTCTGGGAGGAGCCACAGTTCCCTCCTGTGCCCAGTTTCTGATCTGGAGAAGGCAAAACCCTCCCCCCTTCCCCCCCCCCACACCCGCCCCCCAGGCCCCTGGACTCTGTCACAACAGGAGGAAGGCCGTCCCCGGGGCCCTGTCCGGACGTCCGTCCCCAATTCACAGCCCCACACTTGCATCCAGGGCCTTGGCCCCTCCCACGCGTGTCCTGAGCTTGGCAGCAGCAAAGTCCAGAGCCACCAAGGCACCTGGGGTCAGTCGTGTGTGTGTGTGTGGGGGGGGAGGGGTGACCATCAGCTGTGGGAAGGGGGCGCCCGAGCCCACATGGGCTCTGTCCCCTGAACTGGCTTCAGTTCCCTGCATGCAGCCCCCGGCATCCTTCCACCGTGCAGTGCCTCTACACCCCTACACCCCTACACCCCTACACCCGGCCCTGCAAGCCTCTCCACACAGGGCCACCCGTCCTGCTCCCGGCTGAGCCCCTGCCTCCTCGAGGGCAGGAAGGGGAACCTCACCCCTGCTCCCCCTTTTTGCCCCCAGCCCAGATGCCCAAAGCTCCCTGCGGCCCCTTCCTGGTGGCCCAGTGCCACTGTGGAGACCCCAGGAACACGCAGGTGCCGGCCCGGGGGTCAGTGCCACGTGGACGGGTCAGCAGTTATGTCAGAGCCAGCCGGGTGCACCCGCGGGGGCTGCTCTCTGCTGAGCCACCGCCACGGCCCAGGAGTGGGCCTGGGGCCTGGCAGTGGGGGGCCCTGCCCTGAGACTTGCACCCCTCCCTCCTGGCCAGCGCAGGGCCTGGGCAGGCACAGTTTGGCTTCCGGTAGAACACGCCCCCCCGAAGTGTCACCAAAGTGTCCTGGGGACTGGTCACTGGCGAAGGGCACTTGGGATGAAGGCGGGGTCCCCCCGTGGGTCTCTCTCCCGGACCCCACGGGGTGGCCTTCTCCAGCTGCTGGTTTGTGTCACAGTGTCTCCTCCGTGCGGGACCCCTGCTGGCTGCCTGAGGCCTGGAAGGGGAGTCCCGGCGAGGCTTCGGGGCGCGGCCCCTCTCCTGGGCTCGGCAGGCGCGTGGCGGGTCGTCACGTGGGTCCCCGGCTCACGGCCGCCTCCTCTGACGGCGGCTCCACATGCCCCGCTTGGAATGGAAGTGATGGAAGAAGTTCCGGAGGGACAGACGCTCCACCTCCAGGCCGGCCTGCAGGACCCTGCAGGGACAGGCGGCGTGGGAGGCAGGGTAGGGGGCCCGGGACCCCCGCCTCCCCTCACGCCCGCGGCAGAGAGGGAGGGGATGGGTGATCCCACCCGCGGGTGGTCTGACCCTCCGTGGTTCCTGTCCCAGCTGAGGAGGAGAAACGCAGGCAGCAAATGGCGCAGTGAGGAGGTCAAGCAGGGTCCAGCCCCCAGCAGCCCATATAGTCCCCCAGGTTCCAGCCCTAGGACCCTAGACATCCCCAGGTTCAGTCCCCCCATAGAGTGCCACCAAGAGAGATCCCTGAGCGTGGCCAAGAGTTAGCCCTGAGCACCACTGGATGTGGCCCAAAAGCAGAAAAAAAAAAAAGGGGGGGGGGGCCTGATGACTAAAGGCTGCACTCGTTCTACCACACAGTGATTCAATTCAACAACTGAATAATTCTTGTAATTCTCATGTGCTCAAGCGCGTGCGCGCGCGCACACACACACACACACACACACACACACACACACACACACACAAAAGCTGCGTGCCTGGGTGGGAGAGAGAGCCCAGTGGGCAAGCCTTGCACACAGTAGACCTGGCCTCTGGGAGCCCACCAAGAGTCATCCCTGAGTGCAGAGCCAGGAGTCAAAGCCCTGAGCACTGCTGGGAGTGCCCCTCCTCCACGACCCTCCTTGCCCCTGCCAAAAAAAACCAAAACAAAAAACCAAAACCAAAGAAACAGAAAACCCCAGCTGGGTCCTGAGGATGCTGCTCGGCGTCAGAGCACTTCCCACTGTGGACACCCTGAAGCTGGCACCGCCACCTACCAGACCACCACCACCAGAGCAAAAACGTGGAACTGTCAGAAAGAAAAAAGGCGCGAGAGGCTGGCAAAGTTCCGACAGACAGACCGAGAGCCCTGGGCACGGCCTGTGGAGTCCGAGAACGTCCAGGGGGCGTCCGGTCCCCGATCCCCGACTCCTCACAGGAGCTCTGGGCTGGAATTTGTGGAGCAGGCTTTCGGTTTTCAACTTCATGAAAAAGACGGCTTATTATCTAGTTCTTACTCTAGCAGGCTACCGACTGCATCCCGCCCGCACGGCAGAGTCTGGCAAACTCCCCGTGGCAGACTCAATATGCCAAAAAACAGTAACAATGATGGGGCTCATTCTCCTGACCCTGGAAGAGCCTGAAAGAGCCTCGGATGTGGCACTTTCCAAAATCTCAAGGGCTAGGACGAACTGGTGCCTGCTCGGGGAAATCGAGGAAGAACAGGATGATCGTGATCGTGAACTTTATGACTGATTTATTTTGGTTCTCGGGGACCACTCCCGGCGATGCTCAGGGGTTACTCCTGGCTCTATCCATGTCCAGGAATTACTCCTGGTGGTGCCCGGGAGCCACGCGGGACGCTGAGAATCAAATCTGGGTCTGCCACGGGCAAGGCAAACGCCCTCCCGCTTGTGCTATCGCTCCGGCCCCTGGAGCAGTTTTCTCGTGAGCCTCAGACAAGGCAGGGAGGCAAGACCTGGTCAGATGCAGCCCTGCGCCTTTGATTCCTGGCACCTCAGATGGTCCCTGGAGTCTCGCCAGGTGTAAGCCCTGTGCACTGCCAGGGGTGGCTCCAAAGCCACCACCGCCACCACAAAGATGGGCCAGGGTTCGACTTTTTCCTTCCAGGGCCCGAGATGGAGGGAGGTGATGATCGCTAAGCTTGGCGCTCACCCCTTTGGGGGTCCCCTTGGATCCTGCTTTATGAGAGCCGGGGTGTCTAACACAGACCATAAACTCCCTCCTCTCCTCTGCAGCTCAAATTCTCTTTATACATATAAACAATTATATATAAATATATATGGGGAGCGGGAGGGAGGGAGGGAGGGAGGGAGGGAGGGAGGGAATATGCTCTTCCTTTCTTTCCTCTTGAGAAAAACGGATCTAGATGTGGTTTGAAGGTCTGGCCCACGGCGAGCGGGGCCAGGCGGGCTTCACAGACAGGAGCCCCGGCAGCCGACCCAGAACCCCACTCCCAGCCCAGCCCCCGTTTTTAGGCTTCTGACTTTCATGAGCTGTGATGTTCGGGTTAATTCGCTTCTCTTCATTCTCTTATTCAGAGATGGAGACTCTGCTCCCCGGGGGGTGACCCCTTGCCTGCCCCCCCCCCCCCCGGCCCGGGGCTCCGGCTCCTTCTGCAGGTCCCTCTGCCCCCGCTCAGCTTCCATGCCCAGGAGCACCCTCCTTGCCTGCCCTTCTCGGCATCAAAGAAGACTTGAGGGGCCTGGAGCGATAGCACAGCACAGGGAGGACGTCTGCTTTGCACGCGGCCAATCCAGGTTCTCTCCCTGGCATCCCACATGGTCCCCCGAGTGCAGAGCCGGGAGTAATTTCTGAGTGCAGAGCCAAGAGTAACCCCTGAGCACTGCTGGGTGTGACCCCAAAACAAAAACCAACAACAAAAAACTACCAAAAAAAAAGGAAAAGAATCGTAGGAGCTGGAGAGACAGGACGGGGTCTAAAGCGCTCGCCTTGCACCTGCTCGGCCCTGGTTTGATCCCTGGCACCAGATGGCTCCCTGAGCACTGCCAGGGAGAGTCCCCGAGCACAGGGCTAGGAGTACACCACCACGCACCACTGCTGTGGCTCAAAGCCAGCCCCTCACCCCCGTAAGATGCTTCCTCCCAATGCTGCCTCACCCCTCCGCATTTCCTAGTTCTTGGGGCCAGCTGGGGCCGCTCTCCCGCTCCTCCGGCCACCCCGAGCCTGTGTCCTGCTCATCCTCCCCTGCCTGGCCCTCCTCCCCACCCTTCCGGGCTTCCTGCCAGCCTTTGCTCCGTGCGCGCTGCCTCTCGAATGGCCCCAAAGTCTCTTGGCTCGTGTCCCTGCCCTGTCCCCACGGTGTCAGTGTCCAGCAGGCAGCTGGGAGCCGCAGGGTGGGTGACAGTCCTGCTCCCCCTGCTGATACCTGCTGGGGGCTGCCAACATTTCCACGGGCATTCTTTTTTTTTGCTCTTTGGGTCACACCCGGCGATGCACAGGGGTTACTCCCAGCTCATGCACTCAGGAATTACCCCAGCGGTGCCTGGGGGACCATATGGGATACTGGGAATCGAACCCGGTTTGGCTGCGTGCAAGGCAAATGCCCTATCCGCTGTGCTATCACTCCAGCCCCCCCCCCCCATTCTTGTTATTGTTGTTGGTTTGTTTATTTGTTTGCTTTGGGGATTACACCCAGCAATGCCCAGGGCTCACTTCCTTTTTTTTTTCTTCCTGATTTAAAGAAAATTGTTTTATTGAATCGCAGTGAGATGCACAGTTACAAGGTTGTTCATTAAAGGTTGTTACATGATGTTCCAACCCCTGTCCATTATCAGTGTACATGTCCCATCACCATCGTCCTTAGTTTCCCTCTGTCCCCTGACCCCCTGCCTCTGTGGCTCTGTGGCAGGCACCTCTCTCTCTCTCTCTCTGTCTCTTTCTCTCTCTCCCTCTTTCTCTTTCTCTCCCTCTTTCTCCCTTTCTCCCTGTCCCTCTCTCCCTTTCTCTCTCTTTCTCTCTCCCTCTCTCCCTGTTTCTCTTTCTCTCTCTCCCTCTCTCCTTTTTCTCTCTCTCCCTTTCTCTCTCCCTCTTTCTTTCTTTCTCTGTCTCTCTCTCCCTCTCTCTTCCTATCTCTCTCTCTCTCCCTCTCTTTTTCTCTCCCCCCTCTTTCTCTCTCTCTCCCTCTCTCTCCCCCTCCCTCCCTCCCTTCTCTCTCTCTCTCTCTCTCTCTCTCTCTCTCTCTCTGGGGATTATGGTTTGCAATACAAACACTGAAAGGTTATCAGGTACATCCATTTATATAAGAACAACAAGAACAACTCAGTTCTTGTCCAGAGTGGTCGCTTCCACCCGTGACAGTCACACCGGTCCCTTCTCTCTCCTACGTGCCCTCTGCCCCACTTCCAACCATGGACCCTTCTGGCCCCTGTTCTTCCTGGCCTTGGGTATTAGTCTCATGAGTGCAGTCGCTCTAAATCTGTCCCTCTCCTGCTGACTTACCAGCAGTTCCTGCTGGCTCTGCACTCAGGGATTACTCCTGGCGGTGCTCAGGGGACCACACAGATGCTGGGGATCGAACTCAGGTCGGCCACATGCAGACCCAGCACCCTCCGGCAGGACAAAGGCTCCAGCCCCTGAGTGGGTTTCTGCAGTGCAATGGAGCCCCCTGGGCCTACGGCCGAAGCCCGGACAAGGGAAACCGCTGCGTGCGCTGCCCCAAGCCCTGCCGTCAGGGGCCCCACTCACCTATCCAGCAGCTCCCAGTCTTCCCCGCCCCAGCGGTCCCGGAACTCCTTGGTGTTCATGCCCCCGATCCTGTCCAGGTCTGACTTGTAGATGCCAAGCAGACCAAAGCCGTTCACCTCCCAGTAGCCTGCGGGCAGACAAGGAGGTCCTGGGCGGAGCAGGCCGGCAGGGACGGGAGGAGGCGTCGGGCCGCCCCGCCCCCCAGAGCCCTTCCGGAGGGACAGTGACCAGGACGGCCGCCCCTGTGCTGAGGCTCAGGCTGGCGAGACCAGCCTTCCGGCCACGGTCGCCAGGGCTAGTGACAGTCCCCAGCAGTGCGTGGGCTGAGCAGTGCCCTGGAGGCACGACCCTGGATGGGCTTCCTGTGGGTGGGGGCGGGGAGCAGGTCCCTGTTGCTCTGGCCTGGGGGTGGGGCCGGGAAGGGCAGCAGGTGCTGCCGAGTCCTCTGGGGCCTCCTCTGGCAGAGTCCAAATGGGTGAGGAGGGACGGGGTACCTGCCAGTGTAGACACGGCTGCTTCTGGCACCCGGGGCTCGGAGCCTGGGCTCAGAGGGTCTCTCCTCCTCCCCACGCCACGCCCGGGCGGAGCTTACCCTCGGGCCACTGCGGGGTGGCCCCACAGTGCAGCCGCATCACCATGGGTGCGAAGGCCATCTTGCCCTCCACGCAGTGCTTGCGGATGCTGTCGATGAAGCCGGCGGGGAAGTGGATGTGCAGGTCACAGAGGAAGATGATGCTGTGCGGGTCCTGGGGACAAGTGGAGGGTCAGCAGGTTGCCTGGCCGCGCGCTCCAGGGCCACCCCCGCCTCTCCCTGTCCGAACGATTAACAACTCTTCGCTCACTAAACTGGTGGCCAGATTCCCACAGTCCTGGGCCTGTTCTTTCTCTCTCTCTCTCTCTCTCTCTCTCTCTCTCTCTCTCTCTCTCTCTCTGTGTGTATTGGGTCACACCCAGCAATGCTCAGGGGTCACTCCTGGCTCTGCACTCAGGATTTACCCCTGGCGGTGCCCGGGGGACCATAAGGGATGCTGGGGATCGAACCCAGGCTGGCGGCACACAAGGCAAAAGCCCTCCCTGCTGTGCTCTCCCTCCAGTCCCGAGCCTGGTTTTTCAGGGTTGGGGTTTTAATTGCTGCTGCTGGTTTTGTGTGTGTGTGTGTGTGTGTGTGTGTGTGTGTGTGTGTGTGTGTGTGTGTGTGTGTCCGGCCCCTACCCCCAACAGGTAGTGTTTAGAGGATCACACAAGGTGAAGGGATTTGAACAGGGGTCAGCGGCATACAAAGTAAGTGCTGTCTCCCCTCCCCCCTCCCAGGACTGTCCCGGTTCTTAGCATCAGAGAGTGCACTGTGAGCCCTCCCCCACTCCTGTCTGTAGGGGCAACACCTGGCAGTATCCAGGGCAACTTCCGAGGGTGCTCGGGAGACCAGGCAGAGCTGGAGACGGAGGGACCAGAGAGCAGCAGGAGAGGGGAGGGGAGGGGAGGGGAGGGGAGGGGAGGCGCTTGCCCTGCACACGGCCAACCTGGGCTCAATCCCCGGCATCCTGCATAGTCCCCTGAGCACTGCCACGAGTGACTCCTGAGCATCGCTGGGTGTACCACCCCTCCCCCGAAAAAGATTGAAGCTAGGGCTCCTTCATGCAAGGTACACCCGGCAGGCCTTGACCACCTCCTCAGCCCCTAGTCCCACCCTTGGTTTGTTGGTTTGTTCATTTGTTTTGCTTTTATGGGTCATGCCCGGCGATGCTCAGGGGTTCCTCTTGGCTCTGCACTCAGGAATGACTCCTGGCGGTGCTCGGGGGACCCTATGGGATGTTGGGGATCGAACCCACGTTGGCCGCGTGCAAGGCAAACGCCTCCCTGCTGTGCTCTCGCTCCAGCCCCTCCCTGGCCCCACTCTTTACAGGCTCCAGGGATGCTGCGGAAACCCCCCACCCCATCCCCAGCCCTACCCCCAACCTCCCTGAAAAGAGAACTGCTTCTCAACGCCCCACGCGTGCCCCCCTGAACCAGCCTGTACATGGGTCATCCGCGGCCTGCATGGCCCAGTCACCTTCACCAGGTCTATGCCAGCCTGAAGTCCAGCCGAGCGCTCAAAGTTTCCACTTAGCTTCATGTACTGGTAGCTGTGGGGAGAGGACAGGGCTGAGTACTGGAACCCGAGTACCAGAGTAGTGCTAGAATACTCGATGCAAGAGTACTAGCCTACTAGGGTACTAGACTAGACTTGCACCCCCAAGGATGAGAGAGGACGGTGACCCTGGGATGAGGGGCAGTGATCTTGGGTAAAGGGCTGGGAATCAGGGAAGCTGGCAGGGGTCTGGGGGGTGGGGGGGTTAGGGCTCAGGGATGGATGGATGGAAGGAAGGAAGGAAGGAAGGAAGGAAGGAAGGAAGGAAGGAAGGAGGAAAGAAGGAAGGAAGGAAGGAAGGAAGGAGGAAAGAAGGAAGGAAGGAAGGAAGGAAGGAAGGAAGGAAGGAAGGAAGGAAGGAAGGAAGGAGGGAGGGAGGGAGGGAGGGAGGGAGGGAGGGGTCCCAGCCAGCCTCACCTCCGCAGCTTGGACCTCTTCAGGGCCATCTCGACGTCCATGTCCTCGCTGCTGTAGTCGGTGATGATGATGTTGAAGTGTGGGTCCCCCGTAGCCTGCAGCAGCGTCTCCATGTCCCGGATGAACTGGTGCACCCAGCGGGCCTGGTTCTTCACTGCCCCACGGCAGGCGGGGAGAGCCGAGGGCGGGGCCGAGACGGGCTCTCACTCCCGGGGCCCGGGGACCCTCCAACTGTGGTCTCGGGCCACCAGAGCCACGGAGAACCACTCACAAGACCATGCCGAGACAAGGAGTCGAGGGGACCGGGACCAGCCCGAGGGGGCTTCACTTCCTGCCCCCCAACTCCCCACAAGGCAAGTGGGAGACCATGGGCTGGGGTTCATCGCTGTGCTCTCGGGGGACCCCCATGGGCCAAACGCAGATTCCTGCCTGTCCTCCAGGGCCACTCCTGTCTGCGGCATGCTCCTCTTCCTCCTCTCCCACCCCTGCCTCTCCCTCCCTCTCTCCCTCTCTCTCTCCCTCCTCTTTCCCTCCCTCTCTCCTTCTCTCTCTCTCTCCCCCGCCTCTCTGTATTATTTTGGGGGGTGGGTCACACTGGGCAGTGCTCAGTCAGGGCTCACTCCTTCCTCTGTGTCAGGGATCCCTCCTGGCAGGGCTGGGGAACCCCCTGTGTTGCCGGGGGGATTGAACTGGGGTCAGCCACATGCAAGCAAGTGCCTGAAGCCCTGTGCTCTTTCTCCGGGGGGCAGACCCTCCCTGCCACCACACAGCCCAGCTCCCCGGCTCTCTTAGGGACTCCCCGGCCCCTCTTGCTTTTCAGAAGCAGCCCTGGCTTCCAGAACAAGGCCCAGCTGATCCTCACACCCAGCCTGGCAGTGAGCTCGAACTCGAGGGAGGGGACCCCAGTTGCCAGTGTGGCCGGACTCGGTGCTGGCCTTTGGTCCCCGAGACTTGGTTTCTCCACCGGAGGGCCTCCCCCTCCTCGCGAGAGCCCAGCGGCGCAGAGACCCACCCTGGGGTTATCCCGGCTCCCCGCTCTACCCACAGTGCTCACCGGGCACGACGAAGTGGACCATGGCTTGGTGGTTCCAGGAGAAGCCTTGGGGCCAGCAGAGCTTGGGCTCGGCGCTGCGGACGTTCAGGACCCGTCTCCGGCGGTTGTGGGGGCCCCAGAGCAGGCCCTGCAGGTTGCGGGCCTCGGCCTCGGCGCCCTGCCAGCCTCGCGTGGACACGTACTCCGAGAGCCGCACCAGCCGCCGCCCTCGCTCCAGCAGCTCGAGCTCCAGGAGGTAGCGACCGCCCCGGAGCTGGTCCTGGCGTTTCTCCACGTTCACGATGCGCTGAAGCTGGTACCTCCTGGGGCAGGAAGTGGGAAGAGGCCGGGGGCTGAGGGAGGCCTGCCCACAGCGTCAGCTGGAGTTGTCTAGAACTCCTGCTTTCGCCCTGCCACTGGCCAAGAGGGTTCACTGCTTCCAACTCTAAAAATTCGCGGCTGGAGCGATAGCACAGCAGGTAGGGCATTTGCCTTGCACGCGGCCGATGCGGGTTCGATTCCCAGCATCCCATATGGTCCCCCGAGCACTGCCAGGAGTGATGCCTGAGTGCATGAGCCAGGGGTAACCCCTGTGCATCACTGAGTGTGACCCAAAAAGGAAAAAAAAATTCGCCCAGTACTCACACATCCAGAGACTCACAAATAAATCTCAGAAGAGAGTCACAAGCTGCAGAGATGTCTCCAGACCCCAAAGTCATCACCAGTTAAAAATTTAACTCCAGTTGTATCACCCTATTTTAAATTTTAGAACTCCTGGAGCAAGTGCGGCTGCACAACATCTCATACTTTATGCCAGTGATGTACCAAGATCTTGATCAATCAATAAAAATAAAAATAAAGGCCAACCTGTAGCAACATGGTAGTGATCTCTTATCACTGTCACTGTCCTCCCGTTGTTCATCAATTTGCTCGAGCGGGCCCAGTAACGTCTCCATTGTGACACTTGTTATGTGTTTGGCATATCGAATCTGTCACGGGGAGCTTGCCAGGCTCTGCCGTGCAGGCGAGATACTCTCGGTAGCTTGCCGGGCTCTCCGAGAGGGGCGGAGGAATCGAACTCGGGTCGGCCATGTTGCCTGCATTCAAGGCAAATGCCCTACCTGCTGTGCGATAGCTCCAGCCCTTTTATACAAGGGCTTTTTTTTTTTTTCAAAATAAAAGGAGAATTCAAGTATTGAGAAGGAGAGAAGAGAAACGGAACCTTTCATACCTTGCTGATAGGAAAGGAAAACTGGGCAGCAAATTTGGAAGAGATGGACAGATGATCCAAATGCTAACACCGTTCCCTGCGACCAACAGTGGTACTCCTGAGTATCAAAGGAACTGAAAAAACAGGCACCTAAATTGTGAGCAGGGCTGTTCACAGCAGCACTGCAGAGAGAAACCCCTAGGTATGAACAGCTCAAACGTCAAACAGCTGCTGAGTAGGAACATAAAGAAAGAGGGAAGTACTTTTTTGGGTTTTTTTGGTGGGGGGACCACACCCAGAGGTGCTCAAGGGTTATTCCTGGCCGGCCTGGGGGACCATACAGGGCATCAGGGATCAAACCTAGGTCAAATGCCTGCAAGGCAAGAGCCCTATTCACCGTACTATCACTCTGGCCCCACGAGGGACGAGCTTGATATGGCCTACCAAGTGATAAGGTAGAAACGCTTGAAATTATTTTGCTAAGTGAAAGCCACGTGTTATTTAATTTCACGCTTATTGGTTGTCAAGAACAGATAAATTAAAGAGAAAGTAGAGGAGTAGTTAGCCGAGAGTGCGAGAGATGTGACGGATTCACCAGCAGGTCAGCGAGGTGGTTAAACAGCTCCAGGACCACAGAGCTGGAGAGACAGTCCAGTGGGGAGGGCGCTTGTCTTGCATGTGGCCGGCCTGGGTTCGATTCCTGGCATCCTAGATGGCCACCCAAGCATCACTCAGAGTGACCCCAGGGCCAGAGACAGGAGAAAGCCCTGAGCATTCCAGGTGTGGTCCCCAAACAAACAAAACACAAACAACAACAAAAGTTCCCGAATCAGATGCTAATGGTTATGTAATACCATGAATAGACCTAAAAAACCACTGAAGTCTACACTCTAAAATACTAAATTAACTGGCAAGTGAACTGCATCACTGAAAATAAAAATCTACTGCATTCTTGGTGAGAAACTAAAACAGGGGCTGGAGCGATAGGACAGCGTGGAGGACGCTTGCCTTGCATGTGGCTGACCTGGGTTCGGTCCCCGGTATCCCCTGGGGTCCCCTGTATACTGCCAGGGGTGATTCCTAAGCCGGAGCCAGAAGCAACCCCTGAGCACCACTAAGCGTTGCCCAAAAATCAAAAAAGAGGACCGGGGCGATGGTACAGCGGGTTAGGGCGTCTGCCTTGTACGCGGCCGACCCAGGTTCAATCCCCAGCATCCCATATGGCCCCCAAAGTGCTGCCAGGAGTAATTCCTGAGTGCAGAGCCAGGAATAACCCCTGAGCATAGCGGGGTGTGACCTCCCCGCAAAAAAAAAATCGAAAAAGAAAGGAAAGCTAAAGCAGTCAGTGTGCCTTGACCCGGGCCCGCCATCTGAACGACCTCTGCCAACCTCAGTCTGGCCCGTGGCACCCGAGACGGGGGACCTGTGCCTCCCAGCCCTGGCCAACGCCTCCCAGCGGAACTCAGAAGCTCGCCTGAGCAGGGGGAAGCAAAGGCTGGGGGTCCCGGACACCCCATGGCCTCGGCCCCCGCCCCCAGCGCGCTTTACCTTACCCCCGGCTCCTCTGGTTCAGCCTCTTCAGGAAGACCCGCGTGACCTCGAGCGCCTCTTGCTCTGGAAGCAGAAGGTTCCCCGACGTGTTGCAGTGCAGGTCGATCCAGTCCGTGCGGAGCGCCTGCAGGTCCAGGTTCTGGGCGCTGAACGTCTGGTCCCAGTTGACCACCGGGTCGAACACGGGCACGTACTCGAACACCTCCCTCATGTCCTCCTCCTCGTCCTCCCCATCTTCCTCTCCTTCCTCGCGTCCTCCCTGCCCCGCAGCCGCCACCACCTCCTCCTCCCCGGGCCAGTCCCCGCCGGGCACCGGAGGCTCCATCCTGTCGGCCCGCCTCTGCTCCGCAATGTAGGACTCGACTTGGCTCAGCCACTGGGACTGCCCCAGGGTCCTCTTGGGGCTCGGCCCGGTGGCTCTGGTCCCCTTCCGAGGGGGGAGCGTCCCTGCTGGGCGGCTGGGCTCCGGGTGGGGCCTCCTCGCCTTCTCCGGTGGCTGCCCAGGAGGGTCGCCAGTCGCAGCGAAGGCCCCTGTGGCGTTGCGTTTGGGAAAGGGGCCCGCGGGCTGGTACCGGGGTTGAGCCAGAAGCTTGCGCAGGCTCCCGAGGCGGTAGTCGGTGGCATCCTGCCGCGGGGTGGAGGTAGACATTTGTCTGCCTTCGGGCACCCGGGACCTCCAGGGCTCAGAGGCAGGGCTCCCCTCGGCTGCGTCTCCGTACTGGGATTCTGCGAAAAGGCTGTCTTCAAAACCTGCTGTGAAGAAACCATCCCTCATGCCAGGGACTCAACACGACAGCCAGGGCGTGCTGCGAGGGTCCTGTGAGAATCCTCCTGCCCACGGGTTCCGGACGACGGAACTCCTGACTCGGGGCCGGGGGCACACCAGCCCCCGAGCCTCATCTGCGTCAGAGAATCAGAGCAGTTCTTCCGGAGGCGATCCGGGGACGTCAGGGCCAAAGGCAGATGAGACAGCACAGCAGGGAGGGCGCTTGTCTCACACACACCTGGCGTGGGTTCGATCCCCAGCATCCCATATGGTCCCCTGAGCACCATCAGGAGTCACTCCTGAGAGCCGAGCTAAGAGTAAGCCCTGAGCACTACCACGTGAGACCCAAAGACTAGAAGCAAATAAGTAAACTGATAAGTGAGTAAAGGCAGAGGTTGTCACTGTCACTGTCCCCCCGTTGTTCATCGATCTGTTCGAGCGGGCCCAGGAACATTGTGAGACTCGTTACTGTGTCTGGCATGTTGAATACGTCACGGGGAGCTTGCGCGGGCAAGATCCTCTCGGCACTTGCCGGGCTCTCCGAGAGGGGCGGGGGAATCGAACCCGGCTCGGCCATGTTGGCCGCTTGCAAGGCAAGCGCCCTACCGCTGTGCGATCGCTCCAGCCCAAAGTGGAGGTTAAGTGGCGTAAAGTGCACAGAGCAGGTGGAGAGACCAACAGACCCACAGTCCCACCAAGGCTCGGCCCTCGGGGAAAGGCCACGCGGGGCGTGTGCTCCCTCTGCCAGGGCCCACAGCATCCCCTGGGCCACTCACCGCTGGAAATCTCCTCCCGCTGACCAGCGCTGGAAAGTCGTGCCCAGGGCTGGAGGACAGTCCAGTGGGGAAGGAAAGTGCTGGCCTTGCCCGTGGCTGACCCAGGTTGGATCCCCGGCACCACATAAGGGTCCCTGAGCACAGAGCCAGGACCAAGTCCTGAGCACTGCTGGGTGTGGCAACGTTTAAAAAAAGAAAGTAGACTGAGGGAAGATGGCCCCTGCTCTGCGGGTGTGAGTCGGACCGCGTGGGCTAGTTTACGGTCCCGGGGGCAGGCTGGTGCGGCCAGAGGCTACTCTAGTGAGAGAGCCTGGTCACCCTCCCCGGCGGTCACTGTACCTGGCTGCTCCGGCTCCGGCTTCTCAGGCTGGTCCATCTTGATGTACTCCTGGAAGCTGAACCTGCAGGAGGAAGAGGGCGTCGGCGGGACCCCCGAGTCCTGCAGCCAAAGCCTTCGGGCCACCGGAAACCCCACAGGGCACCGAGGTCCTGGCGGAGAGCAGGGCTGAGAGTGGGAGGAGGCGAGGTGGGTGTGAACCACGAGTGTGCAAGGGGGTGCGAGTGGGAGTGCGGATGAACGGGTGAGGGCGTCAGTGTGAGTGTGCTAGAGCGTAAGTGTGTGTGTTGGGGGTGTGAGTGTGTACGAGTGTGTGAGTGTATAAGGATGCGCATGAGTGTGTGTGAAGGTGTAAGCCTGAAGGTGGGTTAGGGTGTACGTGGGTGGGAGTGTGTGTGAGGGTGTAAGTACCTGAGTGTGGGTGAGTGTGTGAGGGTATGTAAGGGTGTGTAAATAGGAAAGTGAATGTGTGAAGGAGAGGGTGTGTGTGAGTATAAATGCAGCACATGTGTACAAGTGTGCTCCTGTGTGTGTGTGTGTGTGTGAGCGTGCATGCATGCATAGGTGAGTGTGTGAGTGTGCGAGCAAGGCGCATGTACGTGGGGTCCTGCAAGAGCAGACTGCTGGCCTCGAGGGTCCTGCGGCCACCCCAGGCTCTCCCGGCCCCGCAGAGCCCCGTCAGGTGCAGCCCTGCCCAGCCCTGCCCGGCCCGCCCGGACGCCCTCACCTGTCGCTGTAGTAGGCGTGTTCCTGATAGAAGCATTTGTTTTGGGTCTCCATGTGGCTCAGGCGGGTGTAGTCGTTGGGGTAGACGAAGGAGAGGTGCACCTGGAGCAGGGAGGGCAGCGCGGGCTGACGGGGCCTTCCTGCAGTGGCAGCTGCCCAGGCCAAAGCCCGCCTGCTGCTGGGGGGGCTGCCCCGAGCTCTGACTCTGGTTTGCGAGAACCAAGAGCTTTTCTGCCTGGCACACACGCTCCAGCCTGAGCCTGGGTCAGCCCAGCAGGTGACAGACCCCGCACCCCCGCCCAGCTCCCGGCCCCGCACCCCTGCCCGACTAACATGTAACATGGGAAAGTCCAGGCAAAAGTCTCTCTCTCTCTCCTCCCTCCCTCCCTCCGTCTCCCCCACCATCACATCCCCCTCTTTCTTATCCATCCATCTTCCGTCCAGGTGCCGCCTCTATGCAGCCTCCCGCAGCCCATGGACGTTGCCTCCTGCTGTGTGTGTGTGTGCGCGGGGGTGGGGGGGTGTGCAGGGAGCCCCTGGCCACTCCATCCCCACCCGCCGCCCCCTGGAATCCTCTAGACCCAGATCTGCAGTGACCATTCTGCACTGTCTCCTGGGTGATGGGTTCTCTAGCACGAAACTCCCCTCCAGACTTCACCTGCGCGCCCTCCTCGCCTACCCCTGCACCACACGCAGCGGCTGACCTGCGGGGCCAGCAGGAGTGGCAGCCTTGGGCAGCCCACTGGCCCCCATTTTGGGGGCTGGCGGGGGCTTCATACGGGCAGCACGTGCGGCTCCAGGCTTGGCTGGGCAGGCCGGGGTGGTCTGGCCAGGGGCCATGGGAAGGACCGAAAGCCTCCGGGGGAGGGGTTCAGGAAGGCCACTGGCGCCCGGCCCGCCCCCTCCCCCTCCCAGCCACAGGCTGCTGGCCCAGCGCCCTCGCTGCCCGGCCCTCACTTACAAAGCGAAGTCCCTGGTAGCGCTGCAGAGGGAGCCCGTCCACCAGGTAGCTGGGTTTGTAGGGACAGTCAGGCAGGACGTGGCGGAGGTGAGATTTGGGGATCAGAGGCACTAGGAGGCAAGGGGAGAGAAGGGAGGGGAGTGTGGGAGCCCCCCCGTTTGGGCGACAGCGTCACCAAGGAAGGTCTCCGCGGAGGGGTGAGGGCTGGAATCCTCAGCTCGGCCAGAGACCTTCTGGTGGGTGCCGAAGGGGACCTGGTCCACGTCAGCTCCAGGCGCCTGCGGGTACGGCGCCCAAGGAGCACCCGAGGGGCGCCAGGGGACGGGCCAGGCCCCGACTCAAGGCGGAGCTGGACCCCGTGACCACTGCGGAGCTGGAGAGGACCCGGCTCCGAAAAAGCTTAGAAACTTCCAAGAGGCACAAAGCCCCTCACTGTGGTCATCTTTTTTGTTCTTCCATTTGTTTTCAGTTGGGGGCCACACCTGGTGATGTTCAGGGGCCACCCTGGCTCTGGACTCAGGGGTCACTCCTGGTGAGGCCGGGATTCGAGCCTGGACTGGCCATGCAGAAGGTAAGTCTCCCCACCCCTGGGCTATATCTCTGGCCTGCGGTGATCATCTTTTAAACTGGAAAGACACTCCCAAGAGTTTCAAATATCACCTTCTGGAATGTTTTCTCTCAAGCGCTGGGCTCCAGCAAGAAACTGATACTTCAAGGGCCAGGGGGCTGTGGATGGAGCAATTCTGGGTTCTAATTCCAATTCTTTTTTTTTTTGGAGGGGGCGGGGGTTGTGCCTGGCCATGATGCTCACAGTTGATGCCTGGCTTTGTGCTCAGGGATCACTCCTGGCGGGGCTCAGGGGACCACGTGTGGTGCCGAGGCTTGAAAGGGGGTTGGCAGCACTCGAGGCAAGACCCTCCCCGCTGTGCGAGATCTCTCCAGCCCCCTCGCTCCAACTCTTTATCCCGCGGTTGGTTACATAGACGTTTGCTCTGTAATGATCTGAGGTCACAAAAGCACACGCCTATTTTGGGGGGGGCCTTTTCGTGGGAATGTCGCTGTCCCCACCCCCAGGGAGGAAAGCTTCCCAGCTAGCCAGAGACAGGGGCAGAAATGACCACGTGTTGGGTCCCCCGTGGCCCCACGGGCATCTGCAGCCCCTCAGCTGGGCTGTGGGACCAGGTCGCGGCCAGGCCCTTACCTCGATAAAGGGTGTCCCGGGGGTCAGGCCGCAGCATGTCGATGGGGGGCTGCTCGTCTCGGGGGAGGGGCTCCGGGGGCCTCACATGGCTGGCCGCTGTCTGCGGGATGTGGCCCACCTCGTCCATCCTCAGCACCGTCTCATCTGCGCCCGGGGAGAAGAGAGGGCGGGCGTGTGTGGGCCCAGGAGCAAAGCCAGCATGGGCCAGCTCTCTGCCTCCGGGGGCCCGGGGAGCAGGGCAGGCTGAGGTCTCGACGTCGCCCCCATAGAGGGCCTTCACCTCTCTTCCAGCCAACTCTCACCTCATCCCAGAAAGGCTTCGGCTGCAGACAGTTACCCTCCTACTGACTGAGCTTTCTCTCTGTCCATGGTCTCTGTCATCCACGGCCAACCATGACCCTCCAACCTTACCTACGGTAAGACACCTAGAGAGTGTCTTATTAAACTGGATTATTATAATGGGTCAAAAGCGGTTTTGTTTTGGGGGCCGGTGATGCTCAGGGCTTACTTCTGGCTCTGCACCCTGGGGTCACTCTCAGTGAACTTCAGAGGACCGTATGGGGTGTCAGGAATCAAACCCAGTTGACCGTGTGCAAGACAAACACCCTGCCCACTGTATCCATGAAAGAACTACAGACATCAGCATTTAATATTCCATAGCTTTGGGCACCCACTGGAGGTCTTCAGACCTAGCCCCCAAGATCCCTAGATAGAGGGGAAGTACCCTTGGCTTCCTCCGGCAGCCCCATGGCTAGCCTACTTCGTAATTTCACATGAGCTGAAAAAAGATAGATCTTTTCCAAAATCTTCTATTGCTGTCCTTGGGGCTAGAGTAATAGTACAGGGGGTAGGGCCTTGTATCAGGCTGGATTTGAGCCCTGATTCCCGGGATCCCATATGGCCCCAAGCACTGCCAGGGCCATTTCCTTAGTGCAGAGCTAGGAGTAACCTCTGAGCACTGCCGGGTGTGATCCCAAAACCCCTGAGCATCTCCAGGTGGTCTGCCAGGGATCGAACCTGGGTTAGCACGTGCAAGGCAGACACCCTACCCACTGTACGACGGCGCTGGCCCCTCTGTTGTTTTCTGAGCTTCCCTTTGAGCCAGGCCTCTTTCTCGGCTCGGGTCGAAGGTCCAGATGCCGACTCCCTCTTCTTCCTCCCCTCCCCACCCCCAGCTTTCCTCTGGCGGCCTCTTGCTGCAGTGGCCCTTCCAACAGCCTGCCGCCTTCCTGGAGAGTCCCACCCTGGGGTCCTCTCCAGGCTGAGCTCCCACTCTCCTTCTTCTCACCGTCTCCATGTCGACTCTCCAGCCCCGCTCACCTGCCCCCTACGCTGAGCCCTGGGGGCCCCCACCCTCTGCCCCTCTGCACAGAAGCTTTGTTGAAGAAATCCCAAGTCGTGCACCGTACACTAGCGAACAGTTCCTAAGCTGCCAGCACCAACAGTGACCAATGTCCTCTCCCTGCCACACCCATGGCCTCCTTATCCATCCTCTCACTCGAGGAGCCTCCTAGTCTCTGGATCCCTTGAAATTCTACAGGAAAGAGTGTGTGAGAGCGCTTGTGGGTGTGCCCTCAGGAGCTCAGGGAGCTTCCAGAAGGTTCTCAAAGGGATCTTTGACCCCTAAGAGGAGAGAGACCCAAGCAGACAAACACTGTAGGCTGGGGACCCCTTCCTACCCATGTTCCAAGTGCTTGAGCTTTGGTCTACATCTGCCCCACGCCTCCCCTCACCAAGGTCCCTCAGAACCCCCCACCCCCCTCATGCAGGAACCCCTCCACCCCAGGCCAGGGGCAGAAATGCGGGCCTACTCACTAGTGAAGAGGGAGAGGGAAGAGGAGTCAATGATGCTGAACTTGGCCCCCGGGTCATTCAGTCGCCACTAAAAGAGAGAGAGAGAAGTGGCGGGGGACCAGAGAGAGAGAATGGTGGCGCTTGCCTTGCATGGGGCTGACCCGGTTCAATCCCTGCACCCCAAGGGAGCTAGGAACAAGTCAGCCCCGAGCACGGCTGGGTGTGGCCCCAGACTTCCCTTCAAAGAAATAAAAAACGAGAGCTCTTTAAAACATGAAACAGGGATGCGGCCGTGAGGGGACAGGACAGGGGCTGGGTGCTCGCTTTGCAGGTGGCCAATCTGAGTTCGATCCCCGGCACCCCGGATAATCCTCTGAGCCCCACCAGGAGAGATCCCTGAGCCAAGAGCCGGGATTAAGCACTGGGCCCAGCTGAATGAGGCCCTCACACCAAAACAATAAAAATAAAATTAAATAAGGGGTTGGATTAAATTAAATTAAATAGCACAGCAGGGAAGGCCGCATGGGACCGACCTAGGCTTGACCCCTGAACCCTAGAGCCAGGAGGAGGCACTCAGCACTGCCCCCCCCCCCACCTGGGTTTTAAACAGGGCTCCGGGGAGCGGGGAAGGACAGGCAGGGAGGCCACTTACCGCGACTTCCACGTGGTCGGTGCCCTCCTCATTCTGCTTGTGCAGCACCTCAAAGTAGTACCTTTGCGAGGCTGAGAGGCTGGCAGAGAAAGACGCTTGTGCTCAGGTCCCTGCACGACCCTCAGCCCTCCCTGCTGGGGCATGCCAGCTCCCAGCCCCCCACCTCACCCCGAACACGCCCCTCCGCCCTTTATCTCTGCTTCCAGAATCTCAGGAGTCACCGTCCATGCCCTGGCCTGGTCAGGGCTTCTGCATCTCTACAATGGGACAATAAAAGGACTTTCTGGGGTCACTGAGAGCATCAAACAAGATCATAATTGCCCACGCTCATCAACGGTCAGTCGATGCCGCGCATTGGTCTAAGTGTTTGGCCTACCAGCTTTTCAGAAAACAAAAAAATTAAAAATTAAAAATGTTTTTAGAAATTAAAAACTAATTTAATTTAAAAATTTAAAAGAATTTTTAAAAAATCCCCACACTTAGAATCCCCCTGGAAATCTGTCTTCTCTGAGCAAGCTCAAAGCACCCCTCAGGTGGATTTGAGGGGATACGACCACCCCATGGATGGTTCCAGCACCAGGGACCGGGCAGCAGGGGCCATCACACTGGGAAATGCTGGTCTGGGCTTACTCCCTTCATCGTGGCTTGTGGGGGACGCTCTCCGGCCCAGAGCTCTCAGGCGTTTTGCCTCAAATCAACAAGGTAGTCAGAGCAGACTGGGGTGTGGACACAGATGTCCTGCTGTGGTGTCCATGCCGTTCGTCACGACACTAATTCACACACCAAGTGTCCACCACCGTGGCTGGTCTGCAGCCAGCACAACGTCCCCGGTCCCCCGGTCAACCCCAGTAGCATTGCAGCACTGTCCTCCCATTGCTCATCGATTTGCTCGAGCGGGCACCAGTAACGTCTCCATCGTGAGATTTGTTGTTACTGTGTTTGGCATCTCGAACACGTCACGGGGAGCTTGCTGGGCTCTCCGAGGCGAACGGAGGAATCGAACCCACCAGCTCCTACACCAAATCAACGCACGCCCTTGCCTGCGTGCACGTGCTGGCCACCAGGTGGCGCTCTGTGCTAGCCTTCCTTTCCCTCCAATGGACCTGGGGATCACTGCTCGGGTAAACTCGGGGAGCACGGAGAGAGTAATTGGTGTTCCCGTGGTATGGTCGTGGGGGGTCCCTGGGGATGGAGAAAATGGGAGGGACAGGGACTGGGCACTACGGTGTTTTCGAGTGACACCAGGGTCACTAGACGGCCAGACTGAGGGGTGTGAGTGAGCACACCCTTCTCCCGCGCTGTAAACGGAAGGATGGGCAGGACCCTAAGCCACGGGCCTCACTTCCCGGACACGCCTGCACAGGGGCCCTCTGAGAGGACGCAGGGCGCAGGAGGCCGGCTTCTCGGGACAGAGCTTGCCCTCGGCCTGGAGGGAGGCTGGGATTTAATCGGAACTGCTCTTGGTTTTGCTTCTGTGCCTCCTCACAAAAATACTGCAATGCTCCTGACTCACCTCACTGGCTTGGAAATCTGACTCCGGAACTTTCCAAACTCTCCCGGCGCGGCCCACTCCTTCCCCGTCTAGAGGTGGAGGGAGAGAGGAGAGAAGGAAGGAGGGAAAAGAGAAGTGGTGAGTGAAGGATGGGCAGGAAGGGGGGAAAGACTGGAGCCGAGTGAGGGAAGGAGATGAGAGTGAGTGGGGGAGACAAGGGGCGGAGAGGGGACTGGGGTCCTGCAGGACATGCCAGCCTCCCCGGGGGTCTCTCAGCGCAAGTCATGGGCCCCTCGCCGGGTCGAACAGCCCCCCCCCCAGAGATGCGCGTGACCCAGAGTCCACCGGAGATGCTCCCCCAGGAACCTTTCTCCGGCCTTGCACTGACTCTGGCCCCTCAGGAAACGGACAAGCTGAGCGGGAGGGGCACCTTCCCTGGGAGCGCCTGGCCGTGCCGGCACCCATGGGTGGCCCCTGGCGCCGGGCTGGCCCTACCTTGCCCACACTGGCCAGCAGCCGAAGGCCTGAGACCCGGTCGTCCCGGCTGAGCCAGAATTCCGCGTTGTCATCTGCAGCAATGGCAAACTGGATGTGCCCTGGGCAAGGGGAGAGATTTCCCCGATGAGCGCCAGAATGGGTCTGCAGCCAGAGTTCGGTGCGGGTTGGGGTGGTCGGGAGTAGGGTTGTGTCCACAAACAGTGATGCTGGGGCTACTCCTGACTTTGTGCTGGGGGAGGTGGGGGGTGACCCCGACTGTGCCCAAGAGCCAAGTTAGCCACACACAAGACAAGTGCCTTAAGCCCTGTGTCATCTCTCTGGTCCCTAAAAGTTTTTTTTTTTAAAGTGCCGGTGACTCAGTTATCTTTTGGGGTTCGGTGCTGTGGCCTCCCTCCTTGCAGGAGTTCTGCATCCTGGGAGACATGTGATGATGGGGGAGGCTTCAAGAGCAAAGAGAGCTAGTTCCAGATGCTACAAATGGGGGGACGGGAGGGAGGGTTGCAGGAGACCAACGCCTGATTCAGTTTCCCCTCTCTAATGAGAGACAAATATCCGCTGGCCCAATGCAGATGGAGTTCTCGGCCCCAGACCACTGCTCCCGGGCCCACAGGCCCTGCAGCTAGCCTCACCGTCAGTGAACGGGTGCAGGTAGCCAAAGATGCGGAGGCCGTAGTTGGTCCATCTGGGGGACACGGCCAGCTTCCTCAGGGTCGTGCGGATCTACGCCAAGAAAGGGACAGAAACAGTTACCCAGAAGAGTCGAGCGGGAACTGAAGAAATCAGTTCATTCCTGGTTAGGAGACCAGGAGGCCGAGCTCGTGGGGAAGCTAGGGTGCTTCTGTCCCCCTGGCCTCATTATCTCGCGGGTGCTGCACGGTGGCCCTGCAGAAGTTCTCGGGAGCCACGGGAGAGCCCGCGGCTGAATGACGCAGAGGGTCGGGGGGACAGGGCGTTGGGCAAAGGGAGCACGCGGGATGCAGGCGGTGGGGGCCCAGAGACACACGCGATGAACGAGGAACCGGGGGAGGACAGCAGGCGGGGGAGGGCCGAGCACTCACGTGGGGGTACAGGGGGAAGTGCAGGTTCCGGCGGAGCTGCTGGATGGAGCCGCCGCACCAGTCCTCAAAGACGTGCAGGTTGGCGTGGCCCCGGAACTGGGGGCAGAGAGCGGCAGGTGAGGGGCCGCATCCCAGCCTGCCGCGGCCCACGGGGGCCCCACGGGCACTGCTCTCAGGCCACACCTGCTCCCGTTCTGGCATCTCCCAGCAATGCCCCGCAGGGCCTGGCTAGCCCCGAGGCCTTGGCCTGTTTCTCGGGTCACGTGTGTGTGTGTGTGTGTGTGTGTGTGTGCACACCTGCATTCTCTCACTCTCACACACATTCACTCTCTCACACACAGTCACCGCCAAACAAACGTACTCCAAGCCATGGAGCGAACCTCCTGGTACTAATCTCAGCCACTCCTGGGTGTTAGTCTCCCATTTTGTTGCTTTATGTTCCCCAGATGAATGCAATCTTTCTATGTCTATCCCTCTCTTTCGGACTCATTTCGCTTAACATGATACTTTCCACGTAGTACCACTTGTATGTAAATTTTGTGACTTCATCTTTTCTAACAGCTGCATAGTACTCCATTGTGTAGATGTACCAAAGCTTCTTTAACCAGTCATCTGTTCTCGGGCACTCAGGTTTTTCCCAGATTCTGGCTATTGTAAACAGTGCTGCAGTGAACTGAAACCCAAGCACAAAAATTTGTAAGTCTACAACTATACCTCATGGTGTTTCACTAATAAAAATAAAAAAAAAAAAACATACATGCTCGGGGCTGGAGCAATAGCACAGCGGGTAGGGCATTTGCCTTGCACGTGGCTGACCCGGGTTTGATTCCCAGCATCCCATATGGTCCCCTGAGCACCGCCAGGAGTGATTCCTGAGTGCATGAGCCAGGAGTAACCCCTGTGCATTGCCGGGTGTGACCCAAAAAGAACAAAAAAAAAAACAACCCCAAACATACACACCCACTCTCTCATACATACTCACTTTCATACACACTCACATACACTCACTCACACACTCATTCTCTCTCCCTCTCCCTCTGTCTCTCCCTCTTTCTCTCTCTTCCTGTACAGGAAGGGTTGACGGTCTTCCCTTCTCCAGAGAAGAGGACTGTCATGACAGAGAGGGAGGAGAATACAGGGTTAAGGCGCTGGCCTTTCATGCAGCCAGCCCTGGCTCAACCTCTGGCCCTGGAAAGGGTCCCCTGCTCCCTACCAGGAGTGGCCCCTGAGCACAGAGCCAGGATTATTCCCTGAACTCTGCCAACGACTATGGCACAACAGCGCACCTCAGCCCCCCCCCCCCCCCCCGGGGGAAAAAAAAAACAGCAGAAAGATCGAGAATTGGAAGGACACTCCAAGCTGGGCGTCTCTATAGACGGCCTCCCTTCCCCTCACAGGCCCTTGCCAGGCTGCCCTGGCCTGGAGGAGGGGGCCCGTGCAACAGCTGCCCCCAGCCCGCGGCTCTCTCAAGGCCTCCGGGGAAGCCGGGGAGCCTGGGCCTGAGGGCAGCCCGGAGAAGGGGGGCTCGGAGGCGGCTCTCCTCACGAGGGAGACCCCGCGAGCCGGGGGAAGGGTGAGCCTGAGGTAACTGTCCCAATTTTTCCTGACAAAGAGTTTCAGATTACCCCACCTCAGCTCCTTCCTCCGCCCCTCCCCCCAATCTCCAGGTTGTGGGTGGCAGAGCCTCAATTACTGCGGACAAACAGGCCCTGCCCTGCCCTGCCCCGCCCCACCCGCAGCAGCCCATCAGATGCCAACTGTCAGCTGCCCGGGAACAGGAGGACGGACACCAGGCCTGGGTGGCAGGCGCAGACGGCAGACGGATGGGAAGGGCCCGGGGGCCCCCACCCGGGTACCCTGCACCCCAGAAAAAGGCACAGCCGCCAAGAGCCCCGCAGCCACGCGGCACTGCCCGGCCAACGGCCGCCGCTCCCAGGAATATGAGTGGGGGGCTGGGAAGGGTGGGAGAGAGAACGTGGCCGGCCGGAGCGGGGGAGGGCGAAGGCTCTGGGCAGGGAAGAAAGAGGACATTGTGCTCCTTCTGGCACATTCCTTCGGTCCGGTTTACAAGACTCGGCCGTCGGGTCCAAATGGCCCTCCCAGGAGCCGCTCGGATCTGTGGCCGGCGACTGGGTCGCACGAGCCTCTGCGGTGGGTTGGGGCCAGGAAAGGAGGGTGGCCGCACCCCACCTCTTCCGCGGGCATGCCAAGTGCCCGGGCCATGGGGCAGCCCCCAGAGGGCTCCCGTCTCCTGGGACAGGGTGCAGGATGTGCTTCCCCCTCCTGCGGGCAGAGGCAGGGGTGCCAAAGGATGAGCCGACACCAGCTTCCTCCCCAGGCCCACACGGGCAGCACCAGAATCTGGGTCCTGGAGTTGGAGACTTTGGATGGGGCAGGGGGCGGGGGGGGGGGAACCCTCGAGCTCCCCGCCCTGCCCTTGGTCCACTCTCCCCATTTTCCAGCAGTGATGGATTTGGGGGCTGGAGCGATAGCACAACGGTTGGGGCGTTTGCCTTGCACGCGGCCGGCCCAGCCGAGCTGGGTTCAGGTTCGATTCCTCCGCCCCTCTCAGAGAGCCCGGCAAGCTACTGGGAGTATCGCGCCCACACGGCAGAGCCTGGCAAGCTCCCCATGACATATTCGGTATGCCAAGCACAGTAACAATAAGTCTCACAATGGAGACGTTACTGGGCCTGCTCGAGCAAATCGATGAGCAACGGGAGACCGTGACCGTGACAGTGACAGATTTGGAACTTCCAGTTAAAGAAAAGGGGGAAGGAACTCTGGAGAACGGGGGTGGGGGTGGGGCCCAAAGGGCTGAGCCCGTGCTCGGCACGCAGGGGGCCCAGGTCCAATCCCTGGCACAGCCCGATTCCCAGAGCATCGCCACCAGGGGAGCAGCCCTCAAGCCCACAGCTGACTGGCTCCTGAGCACCACCTGGTGCGGCCCCCAAAACACAGGAAAGAATGACCGGAACCGGAACCCCCTGTCTGACAGTGAGACTGCTGAAGCCCAGAGAGAGAAAGTGACTCCCCACGGATGCCCGCCACGTGGGAGTCGGCAGGGCGGCGGGTCCTCACTGGGGAGTGGGGCCCCTGTGTTTCCTCACTACGGCACTGCCTCAGCACCTCCTACGTGAATGGGGGCTCCCCTCAACTCCTCCACCACCCCCCTGGCACAGAACTGGATCCAAAGCACAGTAGAGGCTGCCGTCTCCATTTGAGGCACAGACGGGCATCTCCGCTCACAGCGCCTCTCCCCTCTCAGCACCCCCGTCTTGCCCACTCACCACCCAGACCCTCCGCAAGCACTTCTCTGACTCCGCCCAGGTAGAGGTCAGAGCTCCCTTCTCTGCACATAATTACTTGCAAAATAGACCAGAGAGATAGCACAGCAGGTAGGACGTTAGCCTTCCATGAGGGCTGAACTGGGTTCGATCACCAGCATCCCATGGGGTCCCCCGAGCACCGCCAGGAGTAATTTCTGAGTGCAGAGCCAGGAGGAACCCCTGTGACCCGAAAAGAAAAAAAGTGAAGAAGGAAAAAAGGTGCTGAAAAGGAAATAATTAGGAGCCAGATGTCCAAGAGATGAGGTGCTTGCCTTGTATACAGCGGCCCTGCCTTTGATCCCTGACACGCCATACTGTCCTCCAAGTCTGCCAGGAGTGAGCCCTGAGCCCAGAGTTAGAAGTGAGCCCTGAGCACTGTGGGGTCCAAAAACAAAACAAACAAGAAGTAAAAATGACTGGCAAGAACCAATGCCAGGGGCCCTGGATGTTCCTTCGATTTTTCTATATGCACCGAGTATCTGCTTTGTGCCCGTTAAAGATAAAAAAAATAAAAAATCCTCTAAGACTTGACAACAGAGTCATCTGTGCCAGGGACAAGGGCAGAGACGTGAGGTGGCCCCAGGGAAAGGCAGCAGAGCGCTTGGTAGCCCTCCTTGTACCAGGCCACGGCTGCGTCCACTGCCTTGCCACGAGAACGGCACCTGCGCTCCCGCTTCCGCTCACAGGATGCAGCCTCGCCCAGCAGGCACGGGAGGCTGGACCGCGTGCTTACGGAGAGAGGGGCCGGGAAGCCAAGCGCTCCCACATCAGACTCCTGCTAGCTTCAAGGTGTCAGTCCACTGCGTGTGTGGAGGGAAGGGCAGGGTGGGATCTAACTCAGGACCTCACGCGTGTGAGATGTGTTTCTTGCTCACAGCTACCCTTGGAGGGAGCACCCCTTGAAATCGGGGGCTCTTAGAACAAGAAAAGGTCATTCTGGGGCTGGAGCGATAGCACAGCGGGGAGGGCATTTGCCTTGCACGCGGCTGACCTGGGTTCGATTCCCAGCATCCCACAGGGTCCCCCGAGCACCGCCAGGAGTGATTCCTGAGTGCATGAGCCAGGAGTAACCCCTGTGCATCGCCGGGTGTAACCCAAAAAGCAAAAATAATAATAATAAATAAAAGGTAATTTTAAGGGCGGAGAGATAGTGCAGCCGGTAAGACGTTTGCCTTGCACACAGCTGACCTGGGTTTGAATCCTGCCACCACATATGGTTCTCCCAAGCACTGCTAGGAGTGGTCTCAGAGACCATTGCCCAAAAAAATAAATAAATAAATAAAGGGAAGCTCCGGAGCTTGAGGACAGGGCCAAAGACCCTGTGGGTGACCATACCAGAGGCCACGGTCCCTCCTACCGGAATACGTGGTCGGTAGAATGAGCTGAGGGGCAGGATGGATCTCAGCAGAAGAGACGAAACACACTGCGTGGGTGACTCGGGACTCTGAGGGGAAAACGCACCGAGCCTCCGCATTCTGTGCGTGCCAATATTTCCAGCAGCATTAGTCACCAGGCCAGAAACTAGAAACAACCCAAATATTTACTGATTGAGTTACAGACATATAAAACATCATAGTGCCACACGACAGGATTTTCTTCAGCAGTAAAATGGAATGAATGGTCAAAATACGCCACAGCACGGCAGCACGGGAGGCTTCGTGACGGAAGCCAGGCGCTGGGGACCCTCGCCGGCAGGACCTAGAACAGCAGGTGGGGCGCTTGCCGTGCACGTGTCCAACCCACGCTTGATCCCCAGCACCCTACATG